ATTTTGCAACAAAGATTCCCAATCCATTGGCCATCTTGGCCAGCAATCACAAGCGTTTCTTGAATGAGCCAACCATCTCCTTGGCAACAAGGCAGGCTGAGACAATAACAAGTGCTTTCCTCTCATGTTTCCCACTTCTCAAGAAATGCCCAGCCGTTAATTTGTCCCCACTGCTCAGAAACACGAATGGTGCCAACTGAAATGCAGCTCGTGGAGGGACCAAGATTGGAGGTGTATGAGAAAGATGACTTCAGCCTCAATAGAAAAGAGTGACAGACCTTCAGGAAGGGCAGGCTGAAATATTTGTCCTGGACTGTCACTTGGATATTTGTAACGGGCCTGAGACCAGCAGACCCAGCAGAGTAGGAATGATTATATAACTTCAGCTGCAGCTGGACATCCCAACAAATGCTGACACCAGGCAAAAATGGGGTGTCTTATTCCACTTTCCCTTTTCTCCCCCTCGATCCTGCTCTCCTACAAAGCAGCCCTAAGCTGTGCCTCCCCATGGTGCCGTTCCCTTTGCTCACTCCAGCAGATCAGCACGGGCTGGCTGCATCCTCACCCAGGAGTACTATGTCCATCCCCCAGATCACCCAGCCACATAACAGAGCCTTCCACCAGCACGGCAGTGCCTCCTTAACCTCACCTGCCCTCCCCAAAGTTATTAGCAGCCTCTTTGCATTTCTGAGAGAGCCTGGGTTAGGGACATGCAGCAGGAGCCAGCTGCTCGAAACAGATACCTGCCTGAAGTAACATCCACAAATGTCTTGAGCTGACAAGTACAAAAATCCAGTTCCACAGGAGCAGGTCTTGCAAAAGAGAGATCCTCCCCACACTGCTCCCCTCCAGCACCTGGGAGGCAGCAGGTGACAGGGGCTGCAACCCCACTCCTGCCACTGCCAAGCAGGAGCAAGAGGAAGAGGGCTGCTCCTAAAACCCCCTTTCAGCAGGAGCAGAGGGGCTGGGGCTGCAGGCAGCGGGTTTCTGCACACACCACAGTGTTCAGAAGCAATCTGAGGTGGCCCTCTCTGCCAGCCACCTCGGGTGGGCTGTTCAGTCACACTACAGACATTTTTTACATGCTGCTAGACAGTGTTTTAGAATGCCCCAGCATGTCTTTGCCTGGCTCACAGTTCAGGAGTCACACACTGCACACAGCAGAAGGTCACCACAGACACATTTTGCTACAGAGTCCGAAAGGAAAAAAAAAATCCCTATCAAAATATTTTAACACTTTAGCAGCATTTTAGTTTTCCCTTTCAGAGCTGAAGCAGGGACATGTCCAGACTCACACTGGGAAAAAATTTCAATGTGAAGGTCACTGCCTGCCCCCGAGCGCTGGACCTGTGACCTGCCACCTCAGACACTTGGATCTGAGCCACCCAACTGATACCTGGATTCTCTGCTGAGTAACTTCTGAAACATTTCAGCCTATTTCTGTCTGGTTTATGAACACAAGAGCATGCTCCTCAGCTGTTTTCACCCCACCCTGCACGGGGCAGGGTGTCTGCCTGGGCAGGCTCATTGCAGCCAGCGACCAACCCCTCCAACCTGCAGACACCCAGCCTGGCTGCAGGCTCTGGCATTTCACCCAGGTGGGACTGCATGGGCTGCTTTTCCAAGCAGCTTCTGGGGTCAGCACTGACCCACCCAGGAAGAGAATTTATGCTTCTTTTGGTTGGGATTTCTGAAGCCAGACTTTGGAAACAGCTCTTCAAACAGAGATAGGAGAATCCATCCCTCCCCTGCCCTTCCTGCTTCCAAACATTTGGACTGACTTCTAGATCCTGGCTTCAAACCTCCATTTCCCTCCCATTTGCTCTGCCTGGGTAGACTGAAAGGGAATCAGTGAGGAGCTTGTTTTATTAATACATTTGCACTTTAGAGGACCGTTTAATCCAGAGGCTACATGTTACAGCCTGACTCTTTCCTGCCTGTAATCTGATTATGAAGGAAAGGACTGAGCAGTGCCCTACAGACCAGCTGGAGGGTCCTGAGTAGGCAGGCAAGGCTAAGCCTGTGCCCCTCTTGCTGTGTGCAAGCCCTTGGCTCAGGGGGCTGCAGACCCAGGGCAGTGGTGGCCCAGGGCAGTGGTGACCCAGGGCAGTGGTGACCCAGGGCAGTGGTGGCCCAGGGCAGTGGTGGCCCAGGGCAGTGGTGGTCCTGCAGATGAGGAGCAGCCCTGGCTGTCTCCTCACCCACTGCTCCTTTCTCACCCACCCTCTTGCATGCAACACATAAAGGACTTGTGACTCTGCCTTGCACAGCTTTTCTGGAGTCTCCCACTGCCCTTCCATGCTGTGTGCAGTGACCACGTGCCCCGAGCTGGCAGGATGTGCTCCTGCCTCCCTGTGCTGAAGGGCACCGGGCAGGGACCTGGGTGCTGCCCGCAGGCCATGACCCTCCCTGAGCCAGGCACAGCTGCAGGAAAACCCGCTGCCCTGGGTGTAAAAACGAAATCCTACACGCAGGCTGGTTTGTTCTTAAGATGGGGACAGACCCTGATCAGCAGAGAGGGTCAGTGAGACCTGGAGCTTCTGCTTTTTGTGATTTATTTTGTCTTTTTAGCTCCCATTTCCTACATCGATCTCCCTTGGACTGCCAAGAGCTGTGGGGTTTAGTCTGGGCTCTTCCCCCAGTCTTTCACTGCTATCAGACTAAATACTGGAGGTACAATTATGGGCAGGAGAAAAATGAGAACAGAGAGAGAGAGGAGATTTGGTTCTTTTCCCTCAATAAGAACAGCACAAATAATCTCATTCACATCTATTAACCAGGCAAGGTTTTTTTTTTTTCACTCCAAGCATGGTCAGGATGCCATTTGGAAGGGACAGAGGGGCAGATGTGTCTCCCAGGAAGTGAGACAGGGGAAGTGGCAATAGCCAAGTGGTCCCTGGGGAAAACCTGTCCTGGGCTTGACCCCTCCTTTTCTGGTTGCTGAATCAGGCTTGGGCCATGGCCCTGGCTCCCCCTCCTGAGCTCCCTTCTCCTGGGGGCTTAAGTGATGAGTAGGGGAAAATCCCCCACTAAAAGATTTGCACTGGAAACCCTTGGCTGAGGAATGACTTCGAAAATAGAAAAGCTTTGCTTGAAAAGGGATGAACCACGTAGCATAATGCTCAACAAATCGCCTGTTTAATGGCCTCTCTTTACAGCAGCTGTGCATTAATAACAAAAGTGGGGGAGCAGAAGCCATGTGCTTCTTTGCAAGATTAAAATAAATACTATTTCATGCTAATACCAGCAACTTTTCTGGGGAGGTTGCCTAAGAGAAAGGAGCAAGTGGAAGATCACGGCCTGAGAGGCTCAGTTTCCTTCCCCTTTGTCTGCTGCTGGATGGAGAAATATTTCTGCCATCCACGAAGAGAGCAGATGCTCTGGATCAGCCCCTGCAGCCAGTGGTTTGTTCAGAGTGGTTTGTGGCAGGCTTGTCTGATGCAGCAGGACACCAGGGCAGGACAGGAGTGACTCCTCCAGGACTGCACACCTGAGGGGAAACCGGGCTGGGGAGAACTTCATCGAACCTGCTTTTACTCTGCAAGTCTCCATCCTCGAAGGATTTCACACCCAGCTGGGTAGAGCCCTGAGCAACCTGGTTTGACCCCAGAGCTAACCCCGTGTGAGCAGGTGAGCTGGGCTGGACACCTCCTGAGCTCCTCTCCAGCCCGAGCTATCACACGACCCCAGCAACGTTTGGCGTCTCTGCCACGGGAACACGAACCAACACGACATTTTGTGCAGGCCAGCGCTCCACCTCTCCTTCCTGGCAGCCCTGATAGCAGCTCTCCCCCTTCCACACCCCGTGATGTGCCAGGCCTGGCACTAAAGCAGTGACGAGCTTTCCCTCCTCCAATTAGGACTTCGGGCGTTTAAAAAAAAAAAAAAGAAGGAATTTTATATTTTAAAGCTGTCTGCCACAGACTGTTTCCCAGACGTGGAGAGTGATTTGTTTCTGTTTTCCTGGGCATAGGTTTTTAGCTGAGACGAGATAGGTTGCCTTGCTGAGAGCTGAGTCACCGAGTAATCAACAGATTAATGCGTTCGGTCCGAAAGCCATCAGCATTAGTCCTCGGCAGGCTCACAGCAACTCCATTACGGTATCGTCCCCACCTTGGGGATGGAAATGTCTCCAGGATTCAGAAAAAAATCCCCAGATGCAAAGAAATCAAAATACGACTGGGAGAAATAAGGCACCTCTTCCCACAGTGACACCGCAGCAGGATCCTGGCATCCCTGCTAGGGAATGCTTTTATTATCAACCCTCAGATAAGGAGCTGGGGGTATGTCATACATCTGTCACTTGAGAGCCACCTAAAAATAGTCATGACAAACTCAGTGGCATATAGGACTTTGCTTTTACCAGGTCTTAAATACGAAATTATTTTATCTCCAGTGAAACCGGGTAGTTTTGCTTTCTCTGGGATGGCAGCAAGCACAAGGGGAGGTCTTGACTTCTCTCTAGGGCCCCGGGTTTCTCTGTGTGGGCTTGGTCTGAGCCAAAAATGCAAAAAGTCGAGGCAGAGGCTGGCAGGGGCACCTCACAGAGGAGCCACTGTTTAAAAATAGAGAGCTGGTGAAAGTCACCACAGAGCAGCAACTGTAAAAGGACAGGCTGGCCTAGGTGTGTGGCACGAGAGGCTGCTGGGCATCACAGAGCTGTTCTGATAAGACACATGCCAATGCTGCTGCCTAAGAGCCTGTCCACACCAACCTCACTGAAGTGAAACATCCCCTTGTTTTCAGGGGCAGTTGCCGTTTGGGTACGCTCAAACTGGGGGACGTGGGAGTAAAAGCCACTCAAGCCCCAGCCAAGTCCATCCTAAAAGCTTTCCTACAAGAGCAGGCTGGAGGAAGGGCCTGGAGCAGCAGCAAGCCCTCTGCCCAGCCCATCTCTGGGTGCAGCCTGAGTGTCCAGGACACGCCAGGACACGTTCTCACTGTTTCCCCAGCCCTGGGTACCTCTGTCCAGGCTGTCCCCCAGCAGTGGTGTCACTCACCCGTCGTTCCTTGTCACCGTACTCGATGCCCAAGGTGTCCATGGCACGGACAATGGCTGCCAGGGACTGGATAGTGTTGCTGTAGACCACTGGCTTGTACTGCTTCACGTCCTCTCCAGAGAAGCCATCCTCATGGATGATCCTGAAGAAAATGCAAAGGATAAAAAAACCCTTGAGAATGTAATTTCGGTGAGGGAGACATTTAAAAAGACAGCTGTGCTCTTCTGAAGAGCACATCTGCTGGCTTGATTTGCTTAATTTAGTCAGCATTTCTTTTTAAACCTTTCTGGTTGTTCACCAGGAGTGTCTGAGCCCAGAGCTGGAATTAGCATCCCTTTTGCTCTCTCTCCAAGAGGTTTTCTGTAAATGCTGGAGCCTGGAACCCGGAGCCCCTCGTGTTCACAAGCTCACTGCTCACAGCGGGGAGGCCTCCAGGTCCTACATTACCTCCCCAGTCAAGGTCCGTGGAAACACGTTCAGTGCTTGCAATGACCATCAGATCAGATCTCAGCCACTGAAACAAACGATAGAAACCCCTATTTCTTGTCTAGTTCTTTTAACAGGAGCCTTACGAGAGGAAGTAGAGCCACAATCCCCCAGGTTTGCATGGAGACGGGCATGGAGAGGGGAAGGGACTTAGTTATGCAGCATTTAAAGTGTCTGCAACCCTCCCCACCTGCTTTCCCCCCCTTCCTTCCCCTTCAGAAACGGTGCTGGGATTTCTGTTGCCTCGAGGTGTGTTATGTTATCCCTTCCTGAACCAAGACTGGAACGGGACCCCCAGTCCTACCAGCCCTGCACACTGGATGCTCTGTGCCTTGGTCTCCATTGAACTGCTGGGTGGAGGGAGTTCTTGCAGCCCCTTGCTCAGAGCAGAGGACTGACCCCTGTAATTTGTTCATCTCTAAGTAACTCCAGAACTAAACCTGGATGTGTCTAGAAAACAGCCAGGATTTGCAGAGCTAATCGTGTTTGACAATGATTCTTCCCAGTGAAGACATAAGTTATGATCCTGTCTTAAATGTCAGAAGAGAGGATGATCTGCTTAGCTGAAATGAAATCCTTGTTTGCTCATCCTCAGATGTCACCGGACAACAGGGAGTCTCTCAGTAACAGATCTGGTCCCTGAGGAGACCCAGCACCCTGGCAGTAACAGGACTTTTGATGCCTTTTTTTCTGAACCAGATACACAAAACTGAAGGTCCCAACCAGCGCTGGCACCTCCCAGGGGAGAGGGAGCAGTAGTGGGGATCACCATGAGCCTGCAGTGGATACAGTGCTGGGCTGGAGAACAGGGCTGCATGCCAGCCCTGTGCCACTAACAGATGACTACACCAAAAACAAGGCTGGTAGGAACATGCTGACCAAGACAAGAGATCTCCTTCCCCTGATGGCAAACTCTCTGAAAGGTTTTGTGACACAAAAAGCGACTGACTCTGCTGTCCCCACCACAACCTTTGCTCGCTCAGCACTGAACGCTCCTCAGCTCCTGGGAACAGCTGCCCAACACCCCCTGAGCCCCCCAAAATACAACTTCAAGCAAAGACAGCCTCAGACAGCCAGGGCAGAGCCCCCTGTGGGGGTGCCCTCCGGGGAGGGGGAATGGTGCTGGTGTGCTGGAAATAGCACAGGGGGCTGCTGGTTCACCCCACCCAGGCTGAGATGAACAGGGGTGGATGAAAACCTTTCTGACTGACTAAATCAAATTTCTCAAAAGCTAGTTTGGATTTAAATGGAGTTATGGGCAGTGCAGACCTTGCACCCTGTAGCTTTTATTCTGCCTGAGTCCAGTGCTTGTGCCGAGGTTTGGGACAGTAACAGGGGAGGAGTGGGGGCAGCAGAGCTGTGTGTCCACACTGGATCTCAGGGATCATTTACTGGCACTCAGACAAGCTGCTGAACTTCTGGGCAACGTGTTCTTTGCCAAAAGTTGCAGTCAAACCTGAAGAGTTATGGTTGGCACAAGGCACAAGGATCTGCATCAATCCTGTTTGAGTTCCAGAGAGCCTGTGCAGCACCAGTTCCTCCCAGCCAGGAGCAGGGCAGGGAGAGGCTCAGCAGAGCAGGGGCCCCAGGGGAGGCAGGCAGGCAGGCAGGCTGTTAGCAAAAGCATCACCAGGAAGAGTTCATTCTTTCTGCTTGCTTGGCTCAGGGCTGGGTTTTGGGCGAGCGAGACTAAATGCTGGTTTTTGGGCAACTACGAGAGGGAAATATATGAGGGGGGAAAAAGAGGGGTGAGATCAGGCACGAGGGGCAGTGCAGGCTCAAGAGGATGCCGCTGAAATTTGTTTGGGTCAGCTGCTGGAGGAGATGGAAGTGAGCCCACACCTCGGGCTGGCTTTGTTTCTGCCTTTCACTGACAGAAATCAGCTCGGGAATTGAGAAGGCAGAAAGAGGGCTGAACATCTGCACGGGGAAGGAGGTGAGCTTTGGTCTTCCTTGCAGTTTAAACCCTCTCTGGCCCTGTGCCTGACATTTTCACTTCCCAGTACCCCAAGCCAGTCAGCTCCCAGTGGGGTAACAGAGCTCCCTGTGCTGAAGGGGCAGGACTAAGGATGGAGAGTGGCTCTGGGCTCCCTCAGAGAACATTCTGCAGCTGGGCAACACCCTGCAAAGCACACGCATGCAAGGGTTACTTTTAAAGGGGGCAGAAAGAGAGTGGAGTAAAACCCCCCCAGTTGTTCCTGTGTGAAATCTCTCCGGGAATGCAGCACAGCCACTGGAAGCAGCCCTGTGGATGCCACTGTTGAAGCTTTGCTGTAGGAAGCACCCACAGATTAATCAATCATGCAGTTAGCACAGTACCTGATATCTGAGAGAGCAAATCCCCACTGACTCCTGCTCCAAAGCCTGCCAGGACACCATGAACTGGTTTATTGTCCTATATGCTTTCTGCAAATGTTTCTCCAAAAAGCCTTGGTGCTTTTCCCACAGTCCTTTGGAAATGTTCCTGCTGCCATTCACCCGTTTGGGATACACCTTCCTTCTTGCCTGCTGTAGTGTTTTACTGCCTAGAGGGCATGTAAAGCTCCAGCACCACTCCTGGGAGGTTCATTGCCGTGGGACAGGGCTGGAGCAGCTCCTGTGCCACAGGACACGAGGAGCAGCGGGGTTTGGGTGCTGCAGTGAGCTGTGACCACCACAAATGCACAGCTGTGGGAACCAACAGAAGGGAGCAGGGTGTCAGGACTGTCAAGTCTTTAAAGGTTTAGGCAGGGTGGGCTACTCCTTAAGCAACCTGCAAATTATGGGAACACAGTGTTTTCAGCAGCAAAAATGTGAATCCTCTGTTTTCTAAATGGCTTGTACCTTTCTCTGGGTCTCAACTACAAACAAAACTGCTGCAGGCAGGTCCCTCTTTGCCACACTAGAACTGATTCTCTCCAGGGCAAAGGAAGAAAAGGGATTTAAGAGGATCCCCGGGGGCTGTGGAGGGGGGAGAGAATGCTGTAATTTAAAAAAGTGATTCTGAGCAATTAAAAAGCCATTTCATTCACCAAGTGACTAATGAAACACTGTGCTCTGAATGGGACGGCGAGAGACAACTGAAGCCACCTGATTGCCTAAGGTACCCATTAGTGCCTGCTCCCCATCCCTCAGCTGCTAACAACAAACCCCACGTGTTGCCACGGTCTGTTGTTGTACTCGGGTCAGAATGGCAGTAACACACAGGTATTTGCTGGGGAAATGGTTCCACTGCACATCAGATCTTCTGCCATCCCCAGCAAGTCATTAATCCTGAAGAAGTACCCAGTGCCTCGGTGATTATTGCTTAATTACAAAATAAGTGAAATACTTGGAAACAGGGGGTGCATTCTGCGTAGCAGCTTGCTTTGGCTGTCGTTCAGCAGAGCACTTACCTGCCTTCAGCCTGGCCCTAAAAAACAGGGAAAAGGCAAAGGCGTGGAAAGCTTATCCTCTGATGTGCTGAAGCACCTCTCCCAGCTCCTCATCACTGCCAGGGGTAATCATGTATTTTCATCAATTTTTCATTGACGAAAATTTGAAGGAAAGCGAGCCCAGTGAGCCCTGGGTGACAGAGTCCTCAGCTTCGACCACGAGCCACTGATAACTGTATTCTTTGGGAATGGGTTGTGCTACTCATCCAGTGCTGTGTAAGACCTGAAGGAGTTTTATCTGGACTATTTTTCCAGGTCGCTTTATAAAAATCCAGTGGGAACATGCCAAAACCTTCCCAAAATCTCAATATGGGACCAACTATTCCGCTCCTGCTTCTGCTGAGAAATCAAATGAGGTTAGTTTAACGTGCCTCATTTTTGTACAATCCATGCTGGATGTCACTCATCTCCCTTTTTACCTCCAAGGTGCTCGCAAATTATTTGACTGATAGTTCAGTTCTCTTGAAAGCTTCTAGAAGCTGACTGGTCTATAACTCCTACTCCTCTTTTCCCCCTCTATATTTAGAGATGAAGACCATGTTTACATTTTTTTCTCTTCTCCTGGTGTCTCACCTGCCCTCCAAGAGCTCTCAGGCAGCAGTGTTTGTGTTTCTGGGATGGCGCCGGTAGGGATGTGCTGAGGAGTGCTTTCAACACGGCTGCTCTGAAGATATTTATTCTCACTAAACTTGTCTTCCCTGTGCCAGGGAGGGAGATGGCACGCTCAGCAGTGGAGCAGATGGCTCAGCAGTGGAGCCTGTGGACACCCCTGTCCCCCCTCTTGCTCCCAACGCTCCATCCCATCCCTTGCCCAGCTTCACGTGCGGGTCCTCCTGCCCCGACTGCCACGGCCCTGCCTCATCTCCTGCCCTTTGTCACCACTCCAAAACCTTCAGCCGGTGCCTCTGAAGTATTTCCTGTGGAATTCAGGGAACTCTGTGTGGCTTCAAACCGTCTGCATCACCGGGAAAGACATACACAGAGGATTCCAGTTGCCTACCCGAGAAAATAAATCCCATACTGTTTCTGTTTTACCTGAGGTGATTTACTTTCAATCAGCAAGATGTTTCCAGCTGAATGAAGTCTTCCCGTATCAGTGCACATCCCCACAATTACAGTGATGTGCTTGAATAAAGCCAGGCAAGAAATCACCAGGAGATTACTGCACTCGGAGGGTATTGCAAGCAGGAATCAGTCAGTATAGACTGATCCAAGGTGGATTTTACACCAAGAATCTTG